AATCTCCAGTCTGTGGGTCTCAGCACCGGTGACAACCCAGAATCACAGAATTGCGGAATGATTTGGGTTGGAAGGGACCTCAAAGATCACCTCGTTCCAGCCCCCTGCCCTGGCAGGGACATCTCCCACTGGATCAGGCTGCTCAAGGCTCCATCCAGCCTGGCCTTGGACACTTCCAGGGATGGAGCATCCCCAACCTCCCTGGGCAACCTGTGCCAGTGCCTCAGCACCCTCAGGGTGAAGAACTTCTTCCTCAGATCTAGTCTCAACTTATGGAAGAAACCAGAGAGCGTCTGTTCACAGCCCTTGTCTGGATCAGCTTTAATTTGCAGGCATTTAATTGTGGCATCAAGAATCACAGAATGTGACCCCAACAGAGGCTGGACCTTGAAAAACCATCTAGTCCAACCCCCGAATCACTGTAACTGAAGTTACAGCCTAGCGAAGCCCTAGTTGTGAAGAGCTGAGGCAGAAGCAAAGGGGATCAGCAACACAACTGCAATTGGATCCGAAATTAAGAAATCTACTCACAAAATATGTAAAAAAGCAGTCACTAACAATAAAATTGGTAATTACGTAGCTTTTTTAACCTTTCAAAAGCGTGACAAAATCCGCAGAGAGCAAGAGTGTGCATGTGTGTACATCTGCTGGAAAGGGTTTCTGTATAATTTCTGTATAATTACAAACCCCCCGATCATTAGAGCTCCTGGTGCTAGAATATTTGAGGGGAAAAAAAAAACCCACAACAAAACCCAAACATTTAAGATACGCTTGGTCTTTCTCAAGTCCTTTTTACTACTCTCTGCCTTTGTTTGCCTTGTTTGGGAAAACCAGCTGGTATTAATTGCACTTCGTACACCACCGTCGTGAACAGCAGCCAGATATCAGGAAATAAATCCTAATCACAGGAATCCACTCGATTGTTTGAAAAAAAACCAACACAACAAATGCAACAGTTACCGCTTGGTGTTCAGAAAAGCAGTAAAATGAGAGCAATCAAAAGAAAAGGCAGGAAGGAGGCTGGTGTGTGGAGAACGTGATAAAAATAAACTACAATCACAGAAGGAGAAACAGAAATCTAGGTTACTTCATGGTAATCAGACTCCTCTAAACATTCCATCGGCCGCAAGCGAAGCTCGGAGACATCGCACGCTCGTGTAGCCCAGGTCTCGGCACGTGCCCGGCGGCAGAGACGGTGCAGAAGTGTCATGTAAGGAGTTAAGAAGAGCTCATAGAATCCCAGAATGGTTTGGGTTGGAAGGGACCTTAAAGATCATCTCATTCCAACCCCCTGCCCTGGGTTGCACCAGCTCAGGTTGCTCCAAGCCCCATCCAACCTGGCTTTGGGCACTTCCATGGAAGAGGCGTCCAGGGAGACGTGTTACATCCTCCTCTTTCCCCAAATTCAGTCTTACCACTACCCCTCCTGTCTTTACTAACCTTACTCCAAGCAATTCCTCCACCCGAGCACTGCAGGGGAGGAGAGAGAGAATTCTGGACGTGGCGCAACTTTCCTCACCTGAAGCTACGTGGTGAATCCGGTCAGGTTAGGAGCAGGCGGGAAAAAAAAGGGATACTGGGGGCAAAACCTTGAAATATTGAAAAAACCAATATTGATTCCTCTCAAAACTCACCCCAAAGGGGTGCGAATCAGGAGCCCCAGGTGCCGCGCTGCACGTAAGAGAGGCATCGCCTCCCTCTGACTGTAGCTCCTTTCTCTCTAAAATGGGAATAGAATCGGGTTATCTGCAAAGATTCGCTTAACCACAAGAAGCGTGACGCCAAAATCTGCATGCGTGAGAAAGTGATTTGTTTGCCCCTCTCGTTAGCTTAACACACGGAGGGCGAAGACGATGGGAAGCACCGCCACAAGTCAACCGATCTGTCATTTCGCGAGCCCTCTCCCCGCGTCGCTTGCCAACTGCAAACATGGAAGGGGCTCAGTTTAATTAATAGCGGGTCTCAGCAGAGCACTGGAGGCAATGGCACTTGTTTTCAGGTCATCTGGCCCTAATAGGCTCACACTGGGAGGTGATTTGCTGCTAACTGACAGCAGAGATTGGTTAAGGAGGGCTGAGACCTTACAACCCCAAGTAATGAACCTTGGGGCTATTTCTATATTATTTGTCAGCAGCGTGTAAAAAAAAAAATGAAAAAAAAACCCCAAGAAAACCCATAAAACCACAGAAAAAAGACAAACGGCCTCAGCAACTCATCTACGGGGGACATGACGGTGACATCAGTGTCGCTGGTGGATCTGAGGGCTGGAGCACCTCGGCTGCGAGGACAGGCTGAGGGAGCTGGGGTTGTTCAGCTGGAGAAGAGAAGACTCTGGGGGCACCTTATCCCTGCCTGCAGTGCCTGAAGGGACCTACAGGGAGGCTGGGGAGGGACTTCTGACAAGAGTGTCCAGCAATAGGACAAGGGAAAATGGATTTAAGGTAAAGGAAAATAGATTTAGATTGGATCTTAGGAGGAAATTCTTCAGTGTGAGGGTGGCCAGACTCCGGAATAAATTGCCCAGAGAGGCTGTGGCTGCCCCCTCCCTGGAGATGTTCAAGGCCAGGTTGGATGAGCCTGGAGCAACCTGGGCTGGTTAAGGGTGTCCCTGCCCATGGCAGGGGTTGGATTAGATGATCTCTGAGGTCCCTTCCAACGTGAGACATTCTAGGATTCTATGAGGAAAGCTCTTGCCTCCCTAGGACAACATTCTGATCCTCCAAGTAGCACAGCTACAAACCCTCTGCTATTACAGAGCTCCTGCTACTCTTCACACACACTAAGGGCATCCCGGTGGGCTCATGTGGTGAGGCCATTGTGGCACTTAGGCAAGAAGGCAGCAACACCTGCGGTGCTGCAGGAAGATTTCCTCCTGCACAGGCTTGAAGTGCTCTAAGTACAGAATACAGTGGCATTGTCTTTCCTCGTGGTGCTTTAAAAGTTCTCTCCTGCTGGACAGCCAAGGTGTGCACGAGAAGCAGCAGATGCACCTACAAGTTATGTGAACAGATAAATCCCAGCATCGTCCCCATTTTTACGTTTTTTCAAAGCTTCTTGCTGTAATTTCACCTACAAGCCTTGGTGTAGCTATTCTCACTGCTCCAGAGAACGAGTGTTTCTCTCAGCACCGCCGATGGTCACTTCTGCACCCCCTACCTTTCTGCTTCAGCTCCTTCGCAGTCAGCCTAGGAGGTACCAGAGATTTTAAAGACCTGTCCCAAGACAGACATCTCCCCTCGTTGCCCAAGTGAATTCCTTACCGAAGCCTGTCAGCTTCTCAGGGTGATAAAATTCTGCCAGCATCACTTTTCCGTGCCTCCTGCCTCTATCTGCCCCTGCTGCCAAAACGGAGAGGAGCATTAACGCCAACACCGCGGAAGCTGTCACCACCCATCCACTCTGGCTGCACCCGGGCTTGGAAGGCAGGTCGTGAGCAGCAGCAGCACACCAAGCTGGGGAGCTTCGATTTGCTAATTCCAAAGGTGGAAAAAACTGACTTGAAGACTGAGGAGGGCAGTCAAGCTCTCCCATGCTACACCAGGAAATGTCGGGTGGAGAACCGAAGCGCTGAGGTCAATGGGATGGGGACTCAGATCTGCTGCAAAAAGCGTGGGGCTGGTGCAGACACATCTTCACGGGGTTAGGAAGCGCGGGAGCCCCCACTGATGCGAAGTAGGTCTGTGTGCTCAGCCTGGGTTAATCCTGTGCTCAGCCTGGGTTAATCCTGCAGCGAAGGGATGATACAGGTGACCTGGAGGGCCAGTACAGCAACCAGGGAGCAAGCCAAGCCAGCAATATGGAAAACTACCGGGCAGAAGCGTGTCCAATAAACTGGACAATTTCCACTTGAAACCACGAGGCACTTCACCAACTCTACGCCCTTTGCAAAGCTGCCTGGCAGCTGCACGAGAACACAGAGATATGTGTTCCGCAGGCTTTCTGCTGTCCACTGCGGACGTGATGTGCCAAACGGCTCGCTGCCAGCTCCCAGCCAGGAGCTCCTGCCTCCATCGTTCTCCTAACGATCCCCAGCCCGCTCTGGTCAAACATTTTTACCTTGTCGAGAAATCTAAGCGAGTCGACGCAGCTTTTTCCCAGCAGGTGAACTGGGGGGAACCTGGGTACAGACGGCGCGGTGAGCGGGCCGAGCGCCGACCTCCTCCCGTGGCACAGTCTGTTTGCAGAAAAAAGTGCCTGGAGAAAGGTGCCTGTGCCTTGAGAAAGAGGGAAAAAGTCGTGGCCAAAGGACAAAAAAATAAAAACTGCCATGGGATCTTTAATATTCCAGCAGAACAGGTAAAACCATGCATTTAGGAGGTTTATTTGAAAAAGCCGCTGTAAGAAATCACCAGAACCTGCTCTTGAAGAATGTACTTGCCTCCTTGGGAATTAGCTGACCCTGCTAGAGACGTCAGCTTGTGCTACTGGGGGATCTGAGTATTAAAAGCCTGATGACTGCACCACGAGATCACGGCTTTAGCAACGCTAGAAGTTCCTCTTTCTGATTGATTCAGCTACGACTGGAACGCCGTTTCCAGCCCTAACCCCATCCGCAGGTGAACGGCGTCATTTCAAGTGTTTTTTCAGCCCAAGGTGGGGACCCACCAGGAGAGTATCTCCAAAAACCTGCCTCTGCTCAGCACGCCAGCCCTGCCACTACCCCTCTGCAGCCTCAAAGCCACTCTTGGAACTTGGGCTTGGCTAATTTGCCACCAGTTAACGCACGCGTGGATGATTTGAGTTCACCCAGCAGCAAAGCCACGGCGCAGGACGTGCTGGAAGCCATCAGAGGTAGAAGTTTCTTTCTGTTGAAACGTTTGGGCATGCACGGACAGAAACACCTCGCAGTTAAAATATTTGCCGGTTATGTCGAGCAAATCCCGTCAGTTAAACGATAAACATGCTTGGCAATTGGAACAAACATCTCAAAAGCGCTGCAGTACTGCTGCAAGGGAGCAGCTACTTAGGAGTGAAATATATAGATATAAAGCGTTACCCACTGCTATTGAGACAGCACTTATGACAGCTCCCAAGTAGCCCTGGATGAACTTGGATGTCGGAGAAGGCTTTGGAAAGAAAAACAAAACATATTTTCAATAAACAAACTTCTGGTTATTAAAAGGCAACCAAGATTTTTTAATTTTTTTTCTGCTCGTTTTGTTTTCGGTTTATTTGTTTCAAACCAGAGACAGGTTTAATTTTGTCATATTGTCCCGCGACACATGGTCTGTCATCGAGCAGTGGCAAAAGAAGGGAAAACTGTACCCTCATAAGAGAGGTTAAAGGGAATGGGAAATTAATTGGCATCAGAAAATTATAATAATAGCAGCTTAAAGGGAGCATGTGAATGAAACTCAGCAAATGGTACAGAATTAGCACCAGCGATGAACCCCAAACTCTCCACCTTCAAGATCTGCGTTGGAAATGTGATCTCAATGAGCTGGATGGTTTCCAACTCAGCTTCCCGGCTTGAGCTTCCCACGTCCCGACACGGGACGAACGGAGGCTGAAGCGACGGAAGAGAGAAGGAACGGCCCCGCCAGCCGCTCCCCGACACCACCCACAAAGTCCTCTGGAGAGGGCAGCGTGATCACGGAGCCGCTCTCTGCTATATCGAAAAAAACCCAGATACCATCTTGCTTTGTGCTCGTTCTCGAGCAAAACCATTGCCCACCAGTTAGAACCACACATACTGGTTCAGCAAAACGGCACCGAGCGTCGTTCGGGCGCCTCGAGGGATTTCGAGCTCCTCGCGCCATTTACAGCCGGGGTTTGAAATGGGAGCCTACCCAGGAGAACGGCCAATCTATAAATTCATCACAGTGCCGACTCCGGAGTTTCTATTAACGGCGAAGAGACAAGACTTATGTTTCCGTGTCAAAACAGACCTGACGCGCCGCGCGCGCCACATATGTTGGGTCTCCTCACCTTTGTCGCGTTGCGGTTTGCATAGTTGACGCAGGCATTGTGGCTCTGATTCAACCACTAAAGGGGAGACAAGGGAGAGACAGGCATGAGCGTAACTTCGCCAAAATAAATAAAACTTCAAAATCAAAAACGAACCTACGCGGGGAAAACTCATCTCGCCACCTCTTTTCAAAGGCTCGTTGCACACCCTGCACCCGAGCTAATTCCCTTTGAAGTGAGGGACAGGCGGGCATGAAGAATACCACGCTCCTGAAGGGTTTTACCCATAGCAGCTGCTGGCAACACAAAGAAAATGATATTTCCTATCCCCAAAACACCACGTTCCCAGTTCAGAGCACGTCAGAACTGGACTTGCTCTCCAGCTGTGGCCAGGAAAGAAGTGAGGGTGAGGAGAGAGAGTGAAACAAGGCACTAAAACACTAAATCACTGCCGAGTTCATGGCCCAAGAGCACTTTTTTCCTGCTAACCAGTTCTCCAGCCTGGAACTAGGGATCTAGTAAATCTTGGTTTTTTTTTATTTTCTGCAAACAACAATAATTCAAAACACAAATTGCAAAGTCAGCTTACAAATACGTGCTGAAAACCGGCCTCAACTTTCCAGATGTGGGTTATTTTTTTAACCCCCACAGCTCCTATCTACATTTGCAGGTCCGCAGGTCCTGGCTGGAGCTAACCTGAGACACGTACATTTTGGGCATCAGCAACAACTGCTTCACTGTACCCACAGCAGTAATGTGCATCGTCCCTAAATCCTACGCTATTTACTGGGATAAATCTCCTTTTCATAGACATGTGGACATACTGCTCAGAAATTGTCTTTCATCTAGAGTTTAAGGCATCTCTAGGTTGAAGACCTCCTCACTCCCCGTTTCTTGACTCCCCTGTCTTCCCAGGTGGCCGCTTGACACCTTCCTGAGCTTTTTGGGTGATGCCTCTTCAGGCTGCTGCTCCTCCTACTCACATTTTTCAGAAAGGGGTGACCCACGTGCCCATCACGGTGGAGGGAAGAGTTTGAGAACCACTCAGCAAGCCGTGGTGGCCCGGGCAAGCTTTGGTCACTGGACTTGCCTGCTATGGCTTCCCTCTTGAGTGGGCTCATTTCAGTTCTTCAGTATTGATCTCGTATTGATCTGTATGACCCAGGGGCTGGAGTACCTCTGCTGCGAGGACAGACTGAGGGAGCTGGGGTTGTTCAGCTGGGGAAGAGAAGACTCCAGGGGCACCTTATCCCTGCCTGCAGTGCCTGAAGGGACCGACAGGAAGGCTGGGGAGGGACTTTGGACAAGAGTGTCCAGTGATAGCACAAGGGGAAATGGGTTTAAATTGAAGGAGAATAGATTTAGATTGGATCTTAGGAAGAAATTCTTCAGTGCGAGGATGGCCAGACTCTGGACTAGATTGCCCAGAGAGGCTGTGGCTGCCCCCTCCCTGGAGATGTTCAAGGCCAGGTTGGATGAGGTCTTGAGCAACCTGGTCTAGCTGAGAGGTGTCCCTGCCCATGCCAGGGGTTTGGATTAGATGATCTCTAAGGTCCCTTCCAATCTCGGCCATTCTATGATTTTAAAGGGAATAGTCCATCCTTTTAAAGGTGAAAGTTTCTCCCAGCTACACCGTGACGGTGGGAACAAGAGTTCCTCATCGAAGCCATTTACAAGTCACTAAGCCCAAATCATCCATCCGAGCTGGCTCGCTCCTCACTCGTGCAAGAGTAACTTCTCCAAAAGCCAACTCTTTCCATCCTAAACGTCTCAAAACAGGTGGGGCAAGTTGCCTTTAAAAAACGTGAATGAGTGTAGATGACCCCCAGCCACTATCCTGCTCCCAGCACATAAAGCCACGCGGTCACAACTTCCAGCTAAACACACCAAACTGCAAGTCACTGGCACGTACCGATATAATTCTGGGTTCTGCAGCCTTTCTAACATACCAGGCAGATCCCATTCTGCTTTGGTGTTTCTTAACCGCATAATTCTCTAGCATCGCTTGCGCTGTAGACAACAAAAAGACATGCGCAACCAAAAATAAGCCCGAAAATAACTGCTTTTTTCATTTCAGCGAGTGCCGAAATTACACTGCAGTGGTGTGTTTACTACGGATGAAACTCATTCACATGCACGCTCCCTCGCCTTACTCTTTAATTCCCATTTTTCATGGGAAATAACATTTTTTGATGGGAAGTTTTCATGGGAAATAACAGCAATGCCTCCCCATTAACAGACACATCGCCAGCGCAGAATGGCAACGTGCAACGGTTTGTCCTCTAGACACAAGTCATCTGCTCCTTCCCTTTCCATCCCATTCTCCACCCCTTTAGGTGAGTGTTACCTGCCAAAACACAGTGGATGCCAGCGTCTGGTTGGGCAAGAGGAGACCAACGACCTGCAAGAGAAGAGATTTATTTTTTTTTCTCACTGAGAAACGTATCGTTGGTTTGCTCTCGGTGCTCTTCCAGGCATGCAAAGAGCAAGCTTATTTTTAATGCTTTGAATAAATTCATTTAGGGCTTTATTCTATTACAGGTACTGAATTCCCCTCTCCGTGGTGAAACTGGGTAGCGTAGCTGCCTGCGAAAGCGTCACATCTTTAACTATTGCAACACACCTTGGAAAGAGCCTGGTGGCACACACTCTCCAAAGATGAGCTCACTAAAATGTAATAAATTCTTTAATCTGGGTATCTCTAGAGGATAACACAAACGTTTCAATGAATGCAGGAGTTCAAAGTTGTTACTATTGGCAGCGAAGGAGGGTTTTCCTGTTTTCCTTTGGCACGCTCGCTGTTTCGAGCCCAAGAAAGAAATCCCATTTGAACATCTGAAGACAGGAGTGCCACCTGGAAGCACAGGTGCTCCCATTCGGGAGCCTGGATTTTGTTTGAAGAGAATTGTTGACGCGTCGCGCTCAGAGCCGCAAAAACTCCCGCTCGGGTTAGGAGCTCAGGCTGACGACCGCCGGCTCCGGGAGGCTGAGGGCAGCCTGGCCCAGCACATCTGGCCAGCTGCTGCCCAAACACGAGACGCTTTGGGCTTCGCAAGGTCGCCCGTTGCTGCATCCGAGGCCACGCACACGTATGACGCCTGTGCAGCCCCGAGAGCATCCCTGGGACACGTCTCGACATACCACACGCTCTGCAATTCTTTGAAGGTCCCATCTACGCATGATACGGCACCGCCAGGCTCCTTCCTGCCCTGCTTTATGGCAACCTTTGCTCTTAAAGCATGAGGAGTTGAAGAAGAGGGGAAGGGATGCAAAGCAAGGGTTGCAAACGCAACGATAAACCTGACAAACATGGACGGGAAGAGGAGTTCTTGGGGAAGGAGCAGGTAGGATGAGATATTTCCCAACATCGTGGTTGGTTTCTGACTGTATCTGAAGAGGGTGGTCTTCTCATTGCAAAATTTCAGTCGCATCTTTGTTAAAAAGTTCGAGCAACCCCTTATAATTCCAAATACTTTATCTTCAGGACACTTGTGTGAACTCAAATGACTCCGAGGCAGCCGGGCAAGAAGGCTGCGAGTTCATTCTCACCGTCTTCTGCATCATTTTCTTTAAGTTTATCCCTACAGAAGCTGAGAAGAAAGAAAACTCCCCTGCGAGAGCCCCGAGAGCCTGCGGCAAGGAGGGATAAGCTAAAGCCGTCTCTGCACATCTGCAGCAGCATCAGTTGAAGAGGAGGCAACTTCTACGCTTAAGGACAGAAGAGAGAAATAACAACAAACAAAAGGGTAACAGGGTTGGGAGGCCTGATTTCATTTACATCTTCTTCCCTTTCTCCTCCTCCTCCTCCTCCAGCTTTTCCTCCCACAGCCTTCCGCGAAGTTACAGCGACTTCGTACGCTGGCCGGGTGCCAATGCGTGCAAGTTACACTAATTTACCGCTCCCCGTTCAATATGGGGATCTTGTCATTAATTACTCGGCTGCCGGTCTCCGCCAAACGAATTCAACAGGAGCCGAACCTCCTCACCCCAGGACTGACTTACGCGCCTGAAGCCAGCGAGCTAATGAGGCTCCGGAGGAGAGGGAAAGACTGCAGGCAGCTCCTTTACAATTGTCAGCTGAAGCTGAGCGCCGAGGGAAAAAAGAAGAGAGGAAAATAAATAAATAAAAAAAGAGCACCCAAAATCTGTATGACTGAAAGAGGCACGTTTAAATGCAAACTCTCCATATGTGCAAGAGTCTGTCAAGAAATGTACAGTTTCACTTTTAATTACTGTCAGGGGGAAAAAATAACTAAGAAGGAAAACAAAATAAAAAAAAAAAAAGCTTCTAAAACACTCGAAAAGTACCGGCTAAGGAACTTAATCGCCGATCAGGTGGGAAGGGCCCTTGGTGGCCCCAAAGCCGGGGGAAAAGGTGCTGCTTGGACGTCCGTCGGTCTCGCAGCGTGTTCGGGTTGTGAGATCTCCTCTTTGCGAGCCCCAAGTCCTGCCGTGGGCATCAGCCCGAGTCCTCTGTGACCACAAAGCAACACCGGGCGCCTTCCACGTGCCCCTAAAACCTCAGCAAGACTCCCCCTGCCCCATTTTTTTAAATGTCAGGGGCAAATAAGGGGCATAAAGCTGCGGGTGGCAGCTGGGAACCGTGGTGCGGCTTCTGCTCCATCCTTACTGCCCGCGTCTGGGGCTGAATTTCTTAAATTCAGATAAACTTTCCTCCTCGGAGCCTTTCAGCCCCGGGATGAAACGCAAAGCCAGGGTGAA